GGCTCTCTAGTAGGGGTCGGGGGAAAAAGTAGAGGGGCCTTTTGGGTGTATACAGAGTAATTCGTGGAGAATCGTTGTAACTCGCAAAAATTCCAAAAATATAAAATCTCGCCAGCCAAAAAAGTAGGGCCAACATGATTTGGCGTTTCGCCGCCGCATTATGGTGTCGCGTCCCGTTCAAAAAGGAGAGCAAAAACCAAAACAGAGTAAAAAAAATCACATGGGAGAGAAGCGACAGGAGAGCGGTGGAGCAGCTTAAAAAGGAGAGACGCGAAAAAATTGCAGTGCGCGTTCAAAAAACTTACGTTCGCGCAGCAAAAAGCGAATTTTTTCTCTTTTCTTCGTTATTACATCGTGACAGTTTGAACGGAGAGAGAAACAAAGGGCCGCGAGTTCGTCCCCGTATCTTCTTTGTCGCCGCGACTATGACAGTTCGTTTCTCGAAAGCTCAACTGAAAGGCAAAACTGGCCTGAGAGGAGAGATGCTTTTACGTATTATACGATAGAATAGAATAGAATGGAATATATAATATAACGTAACAATAATGTAGTGTAATTGAATGAAATCGGATGGAATAGAATACAACAACGACAAATGTAATCTAGAACGGAAACACAGGAAAACGTTGTCGAACAAGATAGAAGAGAGAAGGGAGAGAGAAAAAAGGGGGCTGGGGTGGAGATAGAAGAGAGAAGGTCGGGAAGGGGAACGAGTGTAAGTCGGGGAAGAGATAGGCACGAAGAGACACGTTAGCGGAATCTGAAATCGAAAATACCATTTAATATACACATGTAGAATGTAGAGTGAATTGACGGACAGACCGAACGTCACCGGCTCGAGAATATCAGGGCGTGTCATCGCAACCCGCACTGCAATCGCGCGAACATTCTTCGGAGTGATTTTTGGCGGGCTTTTATATTTTTGGCTGTTGCGCGACGACGATATCGTCTTCGCAAGAGTGCGGTATGTCACTATGGACGTGGAAGCGTGGCGCTTCTTTCACGTTCTCCACGGTTTTGCGGATCGAGTTTTACGATCGAAGGAATAACGCGCGACGTAACGGACGTGAAGCGCCACGCTTCGAGAGGTTCGATTAAACGTAAAAGAAGATGATATTAGCGTCAATGATACATACCGTCCTCGTGAGTTCTGACCGAGATAGGATAACTCGGAGGTCCGTCACCTACGCTGGTCCCGGCCAATACCCAAATCCGGTACTCGGTCCACTTTTTCAGTTCGTCCAACACGAATTGCGTGTCATTCAGTTTGATAACTTTTGCCTCCGAGTCGGAGCGTCCGCTCTCCACGACCTGCAGCTTGTAGTACGCGATCCTCCCGTTCGATCGATCGGCAGGCGGAGGTTCCCATGTTACCAATATGGAGGTCGGGCTGATCGCTTGTCCGCTTACATTGCGAGGCGGAGCCCCGGGGACTGTATAACACTCAGTTATAGGGGGGAGGGAAACCAAAACGAAAACACGGGAGGGAAATCTCGTCGGTGATCGGCCGTAGCTCGCGACCAACTGCGAAAGCAGCTCGACCCCCCGAGTCGGGCACCATCGGGTCACAATTCGTTCAAATTCCCTTTAACTCGGCTTCTTCCGTTTCCGAAAGACGCGGTATAACAAATACGACCAACGAGGAAACCTCGTACCTACTTACGTCTCTAAGAACGAATGTGTACCCTGTTCGACTCGAAGGACTCGATGAATACGGCTGGTTAGAAAGTCGCGAGCCGCGTACGAACCAGGCCGACGAAGGAATTTAACTAAAAAATTGTTTACGTGACGATTGGTCAAGGTTCGTAGAGAGATAGATAGATAGAGAGATAGAGAGATAGAGAGATAGAGAGAGAGAGAGAGAGATATTCGAGGAAAACTCAAGGATAAACTAATTATGAGTCGATCCTTGAACAGTCGAAAAAGTACGTGATTAGAGAAATTTTCGTATGGACGACCCGTTAACTCGCGCACGCGTTCATTTCTCGTGCGTCGAGTTAACGTCGTGCCATGGT